CATCTTATTTAGTTTAAAAGTAAAACTTTCATTTTATTCAGCTTAAAATTTAAGACTAAGTTTATCAAAGTAAAAAAATTATTATTAAAGTCATCTACATTTTAATTATAGATAAAATATATATTTTTAGTAACCAATAAACTATATAACGAAAATATGTAATTTAGTAGTGGAGTGAACATTTTAAGAGAAATCAAAACATAAATAAACATAATCATTATTATAATATATTCATCTTATAATATATTCAGAAATATAAATTGTAATTATAAAATGTAAATTATTAATAGTAAAATATATTTATCATATAAACAACGAATAATTAAGATTGTGAATATTGATAAAAATTATGTTAATATGTTTGAACGTAAAAGTGGTGTATAAAAGAGAGTTTAAGGGGGGTATTTTGTTATTTACCCATCTTATCCATTATAACTTATCCTGGAATTACTATACCTCCCCTTGTGAGGTATAACTTATCCATGGATTAAATGTTAATCTTGAGATAAGTTATCCCTACCTTTGCAACCAAACAATGAATTAAGGGGTCATTTGGTAGGCCCCATTACTAGAAATAGTCAATGTATTATGTATTGTATTATTTAGTACTATGTTTGGTAGGATTTTTGGCCTATTATAACTAATCCCCGAATTAGTTATACATCCTACACGAAATTATTGGATGTGTTCCTAAGACCTTGCATTTGGAGGTATTACTAATGCATAGGACATAATACCATGAGATAAATCTATGTAAAGACAATAATATCCCACAAATCATTTTAAATTTTTTTATTTATTTTCTTGATTTTATGTTTTATATTTGTCTTAGTAAATTTATCTAAAGAAATTAGCTTACAAATTATTTAGAGAGAGTTGTTTGTTACTAAATAAATCTAATACAAATCAACAGGAATTTGAAATGAGAGTTATTTAACATTAACTTATTAGAAAGAGAAATATATCAATACATGGCAGTTGTGATCTTAATTGAAATTTTTTTATTTGTATCTATAAATATATACACACACACACTAGCATATGACTTGGTAATGTTTGATTTTGCAAAATAGATTTTGTGGTAACTCGAGTAGCCATAGATTTCCACAAACTCTACATTAAGATTAATCAAAATTTCAATGACTATTTACAATATATATACTACTAAAAAAACAGTGAATATCGATCTAAAAATTATCGACCTCAAATTGAGATGGGTATTTTTGATATCCGAAGGCCGGTATTGTTAAAAAGAAAAAAATATTTTTTTAAAGAAAAATGACTACAACTAGTCGATTTTCATGCAAAATAAAGCGGAAAATAAAATTCTGACATGAGGAGGTCAAACTTTTTCAAAGAAAAATGAATTACAATAAAAATCGGCCTCTTGATGTTGCTATTAAATGAATAAATAAAAATATATTTTTTCTCAATTTTAAATTAAAAAAATTAAATTGAGAATTATTTTAAATTAATTTTGTTTAAATCGTCTTCCAGAGGACGATTTTGTGTAAAATAAAAAGCAAAAAAATTATAATCCCGACTTATGGAAGTCGCTAAAATTATATAGTATATAATCATATCAACACATTCATTAAAATAATTTTAGAGAAAAGACATAAGGACACAATCGAAGTTGTCTCTTATTTGCATAAAGACACCTAAACTTTTAAAGTATCCTATCACACCACTAAACAACTATATATCGTTGTAAATTGACCATTTTTACTTATTCCGTCATCTATGTAATGCGCGTGTTGCTCACTCTTTAGGTAACCCGACCCGACCTTTTTTTTGAAGAAAATTCGTGAACTCCTTTTCATTTCATTTCTCAACTTTTCCCTAAAAAATCAAACCAAATACACAGTGTTGTTGTTGACAATCTCGTTGTTGATCATTGTTGATCGTTGTTGATGTGTATTTGTGAAGATTCTTAGAGATTGAAGGTCTAACATGTTAAGGTTCTAAAATCTTCACTATTTTCGATTATTCTGATTTAATGGATTATTATTGTGTAGGAGTGTTAGAATCGACCTCCTACAGTTGCCATTGTTACAAATACGATTCAACATTGCATTTGACATTTTCAATCAAAAACTAACCACAAAATTGAGAAGAAATTCAACCATAAAAAAACTTCAAATTAACGTTTATACTGGAAATTAAAAGAGAAAAGGCGAATTCCTACCTTATTTTCTTGAGGAAGATGATGAAGTCGCCAAAAAGAGAGAACCAATATTGTTCTTTCCATGGAAATCAAAATTTTAGGGCTACCAAAGGCTATTTTTGAGTTTAAATTGGGGAAGATACAAAAATTGATTAAACAATTAATATTAACGAAAGAAAATGACATGTGGCTGTTTTAAACTGGTAAATAAAAAGGAAAAATGACCCATGACGCGCCTAACGTACGTGTAAACAACCCAGATGAGTTAATGGGTAAAAATGACCAATTTACAACGATATATAGTTGTTTAGTGGGGTGATGAGACACTTTAAAAGTTTAGGTGTCTTTATACAAATATGGGACAACTTCGATGGTCTCTTTATGTCTTTTCTCATATTTCTATAGTGACTTCAAGAAAAATTAATAAATTAATATTTTTAAATTAATTTTAAATAAAATCATTGTCGGAATGATGATTTTATACAAGTTCAAATATTAATTAATATAAAATATCGATCTTCCAATGTCAATATTATTTAATTAACATGATTGATTTTTATTTATCTTAAAATTTAATGTGATACAGATGAGGTCGACATTTTTTATTAAATCTAATTACTTTTAATAAAAGTGACATCTAGAGGTCAGTTTTTTTAAAATATTCTCATTAATCATAATTTTGCTATTGTGCATGATACTAAATTTATTTTACACCTACAATTAATTGTTCAAAAAGTATAACAAATTTGTATATTTAATAAATAAAAAGTTAGAATTCATGGAATAAACAAAAAAAAATATATAATTGAAATTTAGTGTAAGAAACTAAGTTGATATAAATTAGGAGATACTTTTACTTATATTTTTAGAATAATGTACAAATTCTACCAGTCCGTCATCAAATCACAAACTTAATATATCATGTAATGACATAGAGGTGAAGATCTAACATATAATGCATTCGAATATGAAATGTGAGATAATACTCGTAGTAATGTCATGATAACAATTAGTAAAATTTTATATTTATAATTAATTATTTAATTATTTATATATATAACCTTCAATGTCGTTATCTCGTTTTATGAATAGAAAATAGAACATCGTAAATTACTTTACAAAGCAAGTTTTATGAAGATTATTACGTTCGATCTTGAAAGGATGTCAAGCGTAGTGATCATATCGTAGGCAAGGACATGTAAAGGATAATTCATTAGAGTATGAATACGTTGATTATATACTTCTTTAGTAGTTTAGCAAATTAAGTTTTATATATTAGTGGTTAAAATATGATATACATTACCAATTAAAGAAATATCAATCATCAATTTAAGGATATTTATATATTAAATTTGATATTGATAAACTTCAATTGATCGATAAAATTAAATTTATATAATTAGGAGGTATATAATTAAACATAAATTAAATTGACCCAAAAAATTAATTTATAAAATTAAACTTCTATTAAGTACTACACAAATAACTAGTTTAACAACATCTTTTATTATGGTTTGATATATATATAGAAGTAAATATTAATGATGATAATAAAGACACCCACGATTGATCACACCTATTATTTTCGCCTCATTTCATTAATTAGTGAAATTTCTTTAATCTCATAAGTCATAAAGGTGAAACAAATATTTACAAAAGATTAAGATACTTTTTATATATATATATATATATATATATACACACACTATTATATATTATTATTATTATTATCTATTTTGAAAATTAATTTACTTCAAAAATAGAAAAGGTTTAATCAAACATGTATTTTATTTTTTTCAAAATAAAGGTCATTTATGATACTATAATTAATCTATTTTTGTATACGGTTATTTTACTCTATTAAAATTTAAAGCTTAAATAATTAATTATCTCCTTTTTATTGCAAAATTTTATTTATTTGGTCATATTTTAGATGTTATATTTGTAATGCCACAATTTCTCAACAACTCGCACAATCACTTCTAAAATACCCAACTCAAACATAAGCCTTTGAACCTCCAAATCCTTTTTACTTCTTCATTTTCACACCATTAGAAAACAAAGCAACCCCTACTTTCACTATCGATGATGTCGTACGTCTTCTTTGAAATCCTATCCATGTTACCACCCAGATCTTGGAAAATTCAATGAAACTCACCTAGTACGATGAAGGACTTGTCAAAAGTTGTATTTCTTCACCAACGTTTTCACCTTTAAACAGTTCATTTTTAATTTTCGCATAAAACTTCTACTCAAAGAGTTTTTCTATAACGGATTTATAAGTCCAAATCTTCCCAATTGATTGTTTTTTATTTGAATCCTAGAATTGTGTATTATTTTCATTTCAATCAATAGTGTGCAAGGTCAAGAACAATGTTAGTACGGAGTAGGCGTAAACAATTGTTAGATTTAAAAATCTTGTACTCTTTCTTTAATTCTCTTTCTTGTATACAATTCATGGTTTGTCATGGGAATGATCATCAAGCTCGGTGTCTCAATACGGTGCCCTAGAGAGGTAATTGTTGAAACCCAATTTTGACATTCCACGATTTGTTTAATTTTTAAGCTTATGAAATTTTAAACAATTAAAATTAATTATTTTTGAAAAATCCATAAATGCTTAAAACTAGATTTTGTTATTGTTTTTAGAGGCAATTTACTTAGTACTTATCTTATTTTTCGTAAATTAATCAAAATTTTAATTAGTGTGGAAATTAATGTTATTCTCGGTACTAATTTAATTATTTCAGATTTGTCAAAATCAAAAAATTTATTAATTAATTTAATATATAATTTATTTTATTTCAAATATTATCATCTTATTATTTTCGAGACCAAGGGCATGTTCTCTTTGAATCCAATTGGACTTCAACTTGATAAGCCCAGACAGACCCAAATCTGGACCAAGGCCATCGACCTAACCCGTTCCAAATCCAGCAAAACAGGCGTGTACAATACAACCAGTACATACGCGACCTTCTATTCGTTCTTTGTCTTCTTCAACGCGCTGCAAACCCAAATCGAAACCCTGTGTAATCGCGACCTCCAAGCATCGCGTGACTTGCTCTGCTCTCCCTTATCTTCTCGTATGAGGAACGTTCGATAACAAGGCCAGGTGTCTCAATCTTGATGCCTCGTCGTCCTTGCCCTAAATCAGTGGGCTCACGTCCTCAGTCTTTTGAAATTGGTATGGTTGTAGCTATCAAAGCCTTATCTTTAGAGAATTTTGAATTTGGAATTCTCCCATTTGATTTAGACCCCTTTTTCTTCCCCTTTTCCCCTTACAAATAGGATTCTCTTCACTGTATACCTAAAAGTTTTGGGAATTCTTATCTCAATATTTCAAAATTTCGGCTTTTGTGGTTATTCGAGTTGAGAGTTGAGGCGGTGGTGAAATCGTCTCTGCCGAACGCATTCGCCCAATTTGCTTCCCAAAACCATGTAATCTTCTTGCTCTTTCTTCAGTCTTTTCTTCAACCTTTTCTTTGTGTTACATTGTAGAATTGTTATTTGTCATAGTATTGTTAATCATCTTTTAGATTCAATGTGATTAGTTAAAATAAGGGTGATGTTTATGTGATTAGCACCAAAAGTTTTCATTATCCTGATCTCTTAGTTAAGTCAACTTTGAATGAGTTTATTAAATATTTTGCTTCATTGATGGTTGTTTTCTTAAGATATGAATCTGATTCTTTACTTAGTTGAGCTCATAAATATGTACATATATGTGATTCTAGATATTGTTATTCTTATTCGACTTCGAAATCCATGTTATATAGTTGTTGTTTTCTGCCTTAATTTGTTGTCTTCTGTATTAGAATTTAACTATGTTTTTATCAAAAATTGGTTTCCTTAACCTGTCTTATAAGCATTGATTTGGATAAATATCGATTGTTGTTTTAAAATAAGATCTTGTTCATAGCATGAATTCAAGATGATTCTCTCAAAATGGTGAATGTTAAGAAATCTTTAGTTTGTTCATTTGTTGGGACTGGCTGCCAGCACTCTCTGTCATGTTGGCCTTAATTCTGCATATTTTCTATCTTGTGCAGAATCAATATTATAACTTGTATAATGTGATTTTATTTTTATTTTCTTTCTTTGTTCTTTATGAATTCGGCATGCACTATAAGCCTAGAAAAGTTTATATCTTTGTGGATCATGGTCGTACGACACTCTTCTTTAACAAGGTCGGCAACACCGGTAAAAACCTATTTATCTCTGTAACGACCTGTTTAGTCGTTTTGAGCAGCAGATTTTATTCTGGAAAAACAGGCTGAGGCGACGGACCCAACGACGGACCGTCATGGGCAGGACGGACCGTCGCAGGGTCTCATTTTAAAACACTTAGAAAATCTGAAATTGGGTACTGAAAATCGACTCTCTGAACTTCGCAACGGAGTGGCAGGACGGACCGTCACAGGCCATTCACCCAAAATCAAGTTTCTGAACTATGCGACGGACAGCAAGACGGACCGTCGCAGGCGCGACGGCCCGTCACAGCTTGCGTAATCCCAGTTGGAGTCGAATTTCTGGTTAAGTTTTAAAGGGGCGTTTTGGACTATTCCTGCTATAATTATATATTTCGTGGGTTTATATTAATAACTCAAATTCTTGGGGGTTAAAAGAGGTAAACTTAAGTTAATTAGTGGGGTATTATTGCCATATTTTATTCTTAATTATATACTAATTAGGGTAAAAGAAAGAGGGTTTGAATAAGAAAACAGAAAGAACAAGAAGGGAGAGGGAGAAACGATCGAGAGAAGAGGAGAGCACCAAGCTTTGAGGATTAACTTGCTTGATTTCAATTCTTCGGTGGAGGTAGGTTATGGTTTCTCTTACGATATTCGTAGTAAAATCTTAATAGAGAATGATATGTATTGATAATATTGTAAACCCTGCTATGTGCTTAATTGTATGCTTGCATGAATGTAATTATATAATTGTGATTATATAAGCATGATGAAGTTATTGAATCCCAAATCTTGCAAAATCTTAATCTCCTTGTTAATAATGAGGCCTTGGTATAAAAGAAGGCGTGATGAACTAAAATAATGGGATT